TGAAGAAAAGAAATGCTAGTTAGGTTGAAAACCCAACAAAATGGGCAATCTAAGCAAAAAAAGGCTTGTGAAAAATGATGAGTGAGTTGGGAGAATGGAAAATGAAAAGAGATGTTAGGATGAAAACCTGAAAAGGCTCCTAGGCAAAATGAGAGATATGAGAGAAATATTTATTTTTGCATGCACTCATTTAATCTCTTTGGAGAAAAAGAGGAAGAAGAGAAGAAAAAGAAAAAAAAAAAGCAAGAAGATGGAGCATAGAAGATCATTAAACCCAAGAAAGAATGTTGTTGTAAAGACTCATTTTTCCCCTTGGTGGTCTTAGTTTCCTTCTTTCTTGAACTTTTGGAAAACTCTTAAACCGGTTGGATGTTTCTGTTTTACTCGAGGTCGAGTAAAGAACTAAGTGTGGGGGAGTTGATACACTTGTAATTTCCGTATGTATGTTTACGTTTTTAGCTAGTTTTGGTTGTTTAGTATTTCGGAAATTACACACTTTTGGTGTAATAGTTTAGTTTGTTGAATTCTTGTAAATTGTTTAGATTAGGTTTATTCTGAGCTCAAACAGGTCTACTGTCACTCAAAGGACGGTTGGTGAACCCCAAAAGTGGAAGGAAAGTGAAAAGTCACAAGACAAAAGGGAAGATCCTGATTTTTGGTCCATACTCGATCGAGTATCTATATATACTCGATCGAGTATCTTGTTGAAATTTCAAATCGGATCCGATCCGGGGGCAAAGGAACATGCAGGGAAAGATTTGGCCACGTTTTATTGTCATACTCGATCGGGTACACCGACATACCCGATCGAGTATACATATGAATTTGAACCTGAATTCGGTCGAGTATAGCTCAAAATCATCATTCTGCACATACTCGATCGAGTATCTATCTATACTCGATCGAGTACCCGAGCTGCACTCCCAAAAAGCCTATAAATACACCCCCTTTCCTTCACAATAAAAACACCAATTCCTTTATACTCTTAAGCTCAGTTTAGAATAGCATTTCTTTATATTTCTTTTAGCATGTTTAGTCTCCAAATGAGGAGCTAAACTTCCAATTCTTGGTATTGCTCTTGAAGCTTGTTGATTATTAAAGTTGTGAGTTATTTTCTTATCTTCTTTTCCTTGAATATTAATTCTTCCTTTAAATACTATTTCTATATCAATGTTGGGGAGTGTTACTAAGATGACAATTAGTTAACATCTTGACATTGGTTTTAGTAATAGCTATTCCTTCCTCTATGTTAATATCGGGGAGTGTTACTAAGATGACAATTAGTTAACATCTTGATATTTAACTATAGTAGGATTCATTCCCTTTTAATATTCTTCCTTGAGTATTAATTAATTCCTATTCATATTTCATATTAATATTTTGAACATTACTTAAAGGATCAACTAGTTTTGTTTCAAATATTAATTACTACTAGAAATGATCAACGAACCGATGGTTAATCGTTGATAGTTTCACAAGTAAGTAACTTCGGTTTATTAATGCACGGTCGTGGTTAATAGACTTAAGAGGGATTAATTTTGTTGGTTAAACCGAAACCGTTGTGTTAAGGTTATCAATCTCAATTGATTTCGTCAAGGAGTTAAAAGATTAAATGCTACTATCAAGTCGATATATGGTGTTGTTCTATACTTGACTAATAGTAAGGGTTATTAATGAACGGTCGTTGTTAATAACTATCCTCGATGAATTGGATATACTCCTCGATTGAGTATTCGAGAGGAGATAAGTTATAGATATAACAATGATCGACTAAAATATATCAACAAGTGGAAAGTAGCAATACCAAGTCAATTTTATCTTTGAATTAAATCCCATATAAATCGTTCATCTTCGTGTTTAAATTTAATTAAATTACTCAACAATCAAAACTCCCCTTTACTTACCATTTATATAAAAAGAAAGTTATTCCTTTCCCTGTGGATACGAACTCTACTTCACCTATACTACGTATAAGTGCTAGTGTTGAAATTATTTTGAGTGCACACACGACAAAGTGCACGTCACCGCTCGGTGTGCGGCACCCCGTCAAGAATGCGGGTGTAGTTATTACCCGAAATGTTCCAAGTGTAAGTAATGTGCCGAACGCCGAACGGGTCTGGACTGCTTTGGGCCTTCTGTTTCCTCCTGGTTTCCTCATACTTTGGGGCGGGGATATTGGGCCTGGACCCAAAACCCAATATCCCAACAAAGTACATTATTATTATTATAAAAACTCAGCGTGAGAATCAATCACCCTAGGCAGAGCAATATGATTCGATGATCCTGTAATGGGTCTAAATGAGCCTAACGTGACCAGAGCAAAACCCTCATCACACATCTTCGTCTTCCTTCGCCTGTATGCTCCTGCTCGCGACCTCTTCCTCGCCCACAACCTTCTCGTCCAGAATCAGATAGCCCTCATCACCCCCTGAACATCGTGTTATCACAAACCCGAGCCGATGTCTTGCTGCGACTGATCATACCCGCGGCGCTGGAGTTTCACGTCATCTCAATTCCGTCCACACCCTCGGTGCCGCCGTTGAAAGAGCTCATCGGAAAAGAACCCGTTCGCTCTGTCCTTGCCTAGTCACTGTCCAACGTCCGAGACCCACGACCAACTTGCACAAACCTACCAGTAAAAAACAGAAGCCAAGCACACCACTCGGAAAACTTGAGGCCGAAGCCGGTGCGAAATAGCGCACAGGGATCCCACGATCGCCGGATCCGATCGTTTAACGAGGATCAGCGCTATCAACCAAACCCTAAGGGACTAGGGAGACGACCGCTTTCTACTGATTTTTTCACAAACTAATTGTCGGAGTGCAAAACTTTGAAAGACTTCTTATATAGGTTATATTAATAGCATGATGTTCATTGACATGTATAAAAATGTTCACATGTTTTATGGTATGTATTGACTCTAGACACTCATAAGGTATAAGTAACATGCATAAGAATAGACTTTGATAGACATATATCAAGATTTTTCCTAGTATTTATTGAATTTAAGATGTGCCTCCCTTCGACTTATAATACTTCCATTTTTCTTGATTTAATGGTCAAGTTTGACTTATAATATGTTTTCATGTAAACTAAACTCATTATCCAAAGTTTATTATCATTAACAAAAAAAAAATAGCCTACTTTTTATGTGACAGTGGAGTATATTATTCAAACGTGATATAAAAGCATGGTAATATATTTTTAGATAGTGAAAAGTATAAATCAAGAGCATAGATATTTAAGAGCTCAAATATATCAAAGCTGATTTTATAAAAACCAGGCCAAGCAATTAGTTGGTTGATGTTGTAAACTTTTGTCATTTCGCTACAAAATGTTGGGTTCGTATACCATACAAGCGGTTGTACGGTAAGCATCGTATAGCCGATGGCATTTTCGTAATGCAAGTGAAATTTGCAGCTTCTGTTATTTTTAAAATATATGCAATGAACCCGTATGAGTTCAATATGTGAATCTAATGTAATTCTATGTATTATACTTTTCGAATATGCATGGATATGACATATTAAAATGAACATTACACCAATATCAAATGAACATTCATAACTTGCGAAATGAGCATAAAAAAACCAAAAAACTCATTTAAAATATCCAGTACGTACACATTTTTATTTTTGTATGCTCATATCGGTATAACGTATAGAACAACCAATGTATAATCAATTTGCAACTTAATTAAGGCAGACTCAAATTTTCATTTGTGAAGCTCATTTGAATTCTTTAGTATGCTCGAATTTTCATTTGTGTATGATCGTTTGAATTCTCTAATGTGTTTTCAAATATTCATTATATTTATGAATGTTCATTTCTTTTAACCATTGTTCTCATTTACACTAAACACTATACTCATTTTTAATATAACACAAAATTTATGGATATGAATATCACTAAGCTTAATAACTGAGAGAACATTAGGCAGCTAGACAATTGTAAAACTACGAATATCTTAGTATCCTCGCAGCACACGGCGAACAAGCGATCAAACTCATCAACCTTGTGTAAGAAAAAGAGAGGAAAGGGAAAAATTGGAAAGAAAGGGATATGGATGAGAGATAACTAACACAAGAGTATACACTCGACTGAGACGTCGACTCTACGCCAGTCGGAGGACGAGGTGTTGCATTCGTGCTGGAGGAGACGAGATCATTGTTGTTGGACTAAGACATCGCCGTCGCCACCACCTGAGTTGTCCTGCTACTATCATTGCCTTGACATTTGGCACACCTTCCTGCATACTCCTTCCATCTCAGAAAAGTCTTCCCAATTTGACTTGCCACGCATATTAAGAAAGTGAAATAAAATAGAAATGTATGATTGTAGTTGTGTAAGAAAAAGGTGAAATAGATGTGAACCACACAAATTATCCAAAAATGGTAAGTGAGAAGAATTTTTTGGGACGATCCAAAAAAGAAAATGGAAAGAATTATATGGGACAAAGGGAGTAACTTTTAGTAAATAGTGTATTTACAGGAAAAAAAGTACTCCATCCGTCCCAAAATTATTGTCCCGTTTTCCTTTTCGTTCCGTCCCGAAATAATCGTCTCGTTTCTTTACCTTCCTTATTTGGTAAACAAATCTATACAAAAAAGTGTCAAACAGTGCAAAACAGTGTCAAATAGTGTTGCTACAGTGCCAAACAGTGTCGCTACAGTGCCAAACAGTGTCGCTACAGTGCCAAATAGTGTTGTTACAGTGACAAATAGTGTCGGTACAGTGTTATTTTCTTAATCTGTGTGAAAAACTGAATGGAACAATAATTTTGGGCCTGAGGAAGTAGCATTCGTTGTGCGCTTTTTTGGTTCATTACAACCCTGTTATAGGTACCCCCAATTGGTACCCCCAATTTGTACCACAACATATTTTTGTGGTTCACAAAATCCCACCTCAATATATGAATTGACCCACTTTAATGAGGTGCTTTTGTGAGCCATAAAAATAGGGTGCAGATACAAATTGGGGGTACCAATTGATACAACATTTTTCTTTTTGGTTAGTCAACTTCACCACCTGTATTTCAACATTAACGGATAGGGTGCGCATCCCTACGCGAAATCCTTCTCTCAATTAATCTCCTCCCCTGACAAATTTCAGGATGAATGTAGTGCTCCGAGGACCCGCACTGATCAACGGCCATACGGTAGATTGAGACCTAGCGATTGATAGAGTGATCGATAGGATAACAATCATAACATGGATGTCTCGGCGCCGGAAAAGCTGATAGTCGTGAACCGCGAGCCAAACGGCTTGGCGTGGATCACAATAAACCGACCCAAGTCGCTGAACTCCCTCACGAAGCAGATGATGAGGGATCTAGCTCAAGCTGTAAAGTCTCTGGACGCGGACAAGTCGGTCCGGGTCATAATTCTCACCGGCACCGGCCGAGCTTTTTGCTCCGGAGTAGACTTGACTGCCGCTGAGGATGTTTTCAAGGGTGACGTCAAGGACGTTGAGGCAGACCCGGTGGCCCAGATGGAGATCTGCACCAAGCCGATCATCGGAGCAATTGCTGGGTTTGCTATCACTGCGGGGTTTGAGATCGCTCTCGCCTGTGATATCTTGGTTGCTTCTAAGGACGCTAAGTTCATAGATACTCATGCCAGGTCTGGTATTCTTTTTCTACTCATGCCAATTGGCCTTGTCAGTTTCTAGCTGAAAACTTAGAAAAACTCCTTATTTAGACAAACAGATCCGTTTGGAAGCTTGATATATGCTGACTTTACTGTGAAACCATAAACATACGGAGTAATTTTTTTCATATAAATGGCTACATATATCATTTCATTCATTTCGTATACTTACCCATCCTTTTACTAATTCTCTATTAGTAAAAACATTTAAAATTAGATTTTGAATTTTGTTAATGAGATGAATTCAACAACATTTTTCAAAATAAATAAATTCTCACACATTAGTAAATAAAATGTATTCAAAGTAGAGCATGTGAGTAGCGTAAAATTCAACTAAAAAGAACAGTGGAATACAATTTATCTGCTCTTATATGACTTTGAGTTGCACCTTGTCCCACAGAGGTGTTGCATTATATTTCCAAATCCATATGAACTATTGACATGAGTTAAAAATAGTTAATATTGTTGTCGACTCATTGGTTTGCTCAAAGTTTGTGACCTTATTCTGATTATGTTCTGATGTCTATGTCTGCTTATATCTGCAGGTTTGGAATATTTCCTTCTTGGGGTTTATCTCAGAAGCTTTCACGTATAATAGGGGTGAACAAAGCCCGTGAAGTGTCACTCACCTCAACACCTCTAAGTGCTGACGAAGCAGAGAAACTAGGCTTTCTGAACCATGTCGTTGGGGATCGAAGTGAACTCATGAAAAAGGTTAGACAGATTGCAGAAGCAATAATCAAGAACAATGGGGACCTGGTGGTTAGGTACAAGGCTGTGATTAACGACGGTTTCAAGCTTGACTTGGAACGTGCTCTTGCACTTGAGAAGGTTTGTCTAAGTTTCATGCTTCTTTGAGGTTACAGATCTGTTTGGTATAAGGGTTATTCATCTAAAATGGACAAATCTTTGCAATTTTTCTGAATAGGAATAAGAACTTTTGTTAGCGTCCATTGCAGGCGAATAAGCACTCTCATGGTTACAGTTATGTAGGTTAAGCTATTCTACACCGAAAAAATATTAGATACTTATATATGGAGTATAAGGTAATCAGTTAGTCCTCCGCCCAATTGACCTCGTGCCTTTACATCATATAAGAGAGCCAACTCTTCTCAAACGAATACATAATGATACATCGTGTTGACATCTTAGAATGATACTTTCTAACAAGATACATTTTCAAATGAAAACAGCATCACGTTGACCCTTTAGAATGGTAATTTCTAGAATGATACATTCTCAAAGGAAAACAGAACTCTAACTATAGAATAAGCATGAATAAACCGATCATGGCTACTAAATGGAGATTAAGAAGTTGTTCTCTTCACCTGATCTGAATGTTTCTGATCTGAATTTTTTAAGTTCTGATTTGATCTGAATCTTTCTGATCTGAATCTGTCTGATCTGATCTGAATGTTTCTTATCTGATCTAAATCTGTCTGATCTGATTTGAATCTTTCTGATCTGATTTGAATCTTTCTGATCTTTCTAAATGATGGTGTTACAGTTCTCTTCTCTAGGATCATTTGATGCCTTATTTTCCAAAGATTTGTCCGCTTAAACCATTCAGGCAAAGAGGCAATTTATCTGTTTTTTCTTTTCTTTTCTTCAGGAGAGAGCTCATGAATATTACAATGGGATGACAAAGGAGCAGTTTAAGAAGATGCAAGAGTTCATAGCTGGACGGAGCTCAAGCAAACCTTCCTCCAAGTTGTAGAGTTCACTTCCGCTGTAAAAAGGAGCTTTGTTTGGTTCATCTTAATTGTATCATATTTTCTGCAAAAGCACCAATAAATAATAATACACAGTATTAATAAGGCTGTAATTTTCTTTGCTTTTTTTTTGAAGAAAAATATGCACCATTTAGTCGTATAGTAGTCAGTTAGTCACTCCTCTGCCCGTCCGAGTGATGTTCTATGTCGACAATATGACATGATGACATAGACCGTAACCGGTAATGATCTTACATTTCTGTATTCTTCTCTTTGGAGTTCATCTCCTCCGCCATTCTTGACTATTTTGAAGGTCTCTGTTTCATACCTGAGTTATGTTTAGACTAAGCATTCATTTGTTAGTTTGCTGGAAAGTTTAAAGATACCGTACTTCTCCATATAAAACAAATATACATGTTTTGATTGTGTACAATTTACTTTTAAATTACACGTATATAATGGTATTCCTTTATATAATGGTATTCCTTTATGAAAAATCTGTAAAAAAAATGACCTCACTTCTTCTACTTAAAATATTTATCCTGCAAAAGGTTAAAAACGTTCTACAATTCACGTTTTACGATACGTTCTAAAAATGTTCTACTTATTAAAATCTATACATTCCTACATTTTAAATGCATAGTATTTACTATACCATCTCTACGTCCTTTAAGGGGAGAAGGCTCAAAAGTGACACCAACGTTATTCACCAAGTTCAAATTGAACACTCACCTTTTAAATGGATCAAATAAACACACAAGTCACTTATTTGGGCAACTTTTGGCCACCTAATAACATTTCAGTTTAACGGAAGCTTCCCACGTTAATCCTATCCGCCCAAATGTTCCTGCCTTATGCCTCCCCTTCGGGCTGCACCTATATCCCCCCCATCAGCTTCCTCCTCTTCTGGTCTCTATCATTGAGTGTAATTTTCTTAATATACATCTCTCTTCTTGTAAAAAAGGAGACATGTTTCTTAGCAGTCACTTGTGTGCTAAAATGTAGGTGATTTTAATTTGATGATGGGGCTCCAACGAATTAAACCCCTTCAAGCCATATTTATTGAGAGTTGTGTACTAGGTCACCTTCCAAATCTAGCAGCGAGACACAAGTTGCTCACCGCTCCGGTAATTGGGTTTTGCTCCTCCGCTTCCTCGATATGAATCCCAGCCTCGAAAAAGCACATCGATGACAGGAGTTTCAGCAATTACAGGATGAATCCAGTCAGAGGACACAAATCTTTCAATATTAATTACTCATAGAAGGAGTATAATATTCCAATGGATTCATATATTCTACCAGTATAGCTCCAATACCTACAACTGCTACAATGTTAGATCTATCGGCGGCCAAGGAGCGTTCTTTACCTACGCGCATGATGCTAACGACTCTGGCTTGGGATTCACAGAAAGAACGACAATAGAGATGTGGATGGATTCAACATCTATGAGTGTAATTTATTGGGTCTCATTTGTAGCTTCAGGAGTGGAATCAGCGATTGTTGATGACTTGATGTTGGGCTTTAACGGAAATGTTGGTCAGTGGCCAAATATTGCTCAAATGATGTGTTTAGGTGTTAAATTGGTCCATTTAAAAGTTGAGTGTCCAATCCGAACTTTGTAAATAGGGTAATTCTATTTACAAACACCATTTTGCTATATACAGCCCCCAATTGATTTAGATTCCAATATTTCCCTTTAACATAACATCGATGCAACCATTTCTCCATTCTCCATTTTAGTTCACCCGCGACGCAATTCTCCGTTATAAGAGGACCCAAATGTTATAAACCATAGACGAACACAGTGCTCAAGCTGAAGCTCTCTGGAACCATGACTTCCTCGGCAACACCTTTTACTCTAACTCTCTCCACTCCACTTATTCAACAACAACTCTATTCATGCACCCACAATCTTCCATTCAAAGCTTTGTCATTCTGCTCCAATAAGATGAAGCAAAAAATGCAAGAGCTGATCTTGTTGGCGGTGACGATTTGATAGAACAAATAAAAGGAGGTTTCATGGATTTTGAAAAATTAATCGCAACTCCAGATATGATGCCTAAGGTTGCGAGTTTAGGAAGAATATAGGGTCCTCGGACTCGTGCCAAATCCAAAGACGGGCACTGTAACGACAAATTTACCTCAGCCCATACATGAATTTAAGCAAGGGAAAGTTGAAAATCGTGCAGATAAGACCGGAATTGCTGAGAGCTTCCGCAACGATTAGAGAGCTTCTGGTCTGTGCTGGTCTTTGATCTCTACAACATCTGGCCTATGTTCTGGTCCCCTTCGTTTCCACGTCCGTGACTAGAGTTTTAAAGCTGAGAGAGGAAAAGATCAAAAGGCTAGAATCAGTATTCAAAGTAGTTCTGTTTAATTAAATTGTGAATGGGGCTGTGTCGAGGAAGCCATGGTTCCAGAGAGTCTTCAGCTTGAAAACTGTGTTGCCTCGCGGGTGAACTAAAATGGAGAATGGAGAAATAGTTGCATCTATGTTATGTTAAAGGGTAATATTGGAATCTAAATCAATTGGGGGCTGTATATCGCAAAATGGTGTTTGTAAATAGAATTACCCTTGTAAATAACCCGGATGTCCTTTTCGAGCCTTCTCCCTCCTTTAAGAGGTCCCAAGTCACATTTTTTGGGCCTAGTCTATGATCACATCTGGAAAATGTTTTGGGCTTGCAAGATGAATTCGGGTTGGAACATATTAAATGAAAAACCTGGACTACAACCATGTCCACGAGTTTTGCGTGAAGTGGTAAAAACGATGAGCACAGAGGGTCATTTTCGGAAAGTCGTGTACTCAGCTCAGTTCAGTCAATCTTCTTCTCGGGGTGAAACAAGGCAAGCGGAAAAGCAGCAGGAAGTCGTAATGTTTCTCCGGTGAAGCGGAGGGTCCGCCATCTTCTTCACTGCCCAGAGCACCACCACAGGGAAGGCGAATAGAAAAGAAATGCTCTCCTAGTCGCTACCCAGTTATCATCAGGCTTTGCTCAGCTGCATTTTCTTTCGACGATTTTCAAAATGGCTCGAATTCTGAGCTTTGTATGGATATCAATTATGATACTGAGTCTGTTCACAACTCAGTCACAGTCTGCGTCTCAGGCATATCGGAGAGATCCTGGTCACCCTCAATGGCACCATGGAGCTTTTCAAGACGTCAAAGATAGTGTCCGATCCGAAGTTCGTCAAATGCTCCACTCTCGCGCGGAGGTACTTCCAACACCTGTTATCTAAAATTTCCCAGATTTTTCGTCTTAATTGAAATGTTCAGGTTACTTGAAGAGTATCATTTTCTGGGTTGACGAACTTTAAGAAGTTATATGTTCAAGTAGTTTGCTTCATTCCGTTGGTATCTTTTGAGAGTTTGAGCTCGAAGAACTAAATTTTTTAAGCGATAATTCATTGTTTTTCTCCTCAATTCCCTATGCACTTATATTTATGATCTATGATATATTCCCCTTTTACTAACTCAAATAAAGCCTCACAATTTAATTCCTTGATCATTTGCCCTTACAAATTCCTTGTAGGGGTTCCGGGATCCTATGTGTCTGCAAACACCTCAAATGTTTATTCAGCCTTCCTAGCTTAGCTTGTGGTAATTGCACGACTTTATAATTTATGCAGGTCCCATTTCAAGTTCCTCTTGAAGTGAATATAGTTCTTATTGGCTTTAACGGTGATGGAGGCTACCGATATACTATAGATTCTCAAAAGTTGGAGGAGCTTCTTAGAGTCAGTTTCCCAACACACCGACTCTCATGTTTAGAGACAGGGCAGCCACTTGACATCGAGCATCACATTATTTATAATGCATTCCCGGTACATGTTCTCCTTGTTCCTATGTGTTTTTGAGTATGTTACTACTTTGCCGCTATTGTGAGTCCCATTATATCAGTCTGTTTTAATCACTTGCTATAGATTGGCCAACCTGAATTAATATCTCTGGAGATTGCATTGAAAAAAGCTATGTTTCCCGCTGGTAAAACTAGAGAGGTAATTACTTTTTTTATATGCTAATATTTAGGATTCTTGGTATTTCCTTTCAATAACTAAACCTTTTTTTATTTTACAACTCGTAGACTGATTTTGGAAGGGAAGTTCCTTTGTTTGAGGTTGACGCGACTACTGTAGAACCAGAATTTCAAAAGCTATACTCATATCTTTTTGATATTGACAATGGAGTACATTATGGGGAGGGGATGGACAAACCTTGGCCAACTACAGTTTTTATTGTCAATTTTGATAAGGTTAGTTTATCAACCATGACCTGAAGTTCTTAATCACATTGCAGTGCTGCTTAGATTAGTGAAAGCCTCTAGTGCTTTGGTTGATCTTTTGTATTTCATATAGTGAATATGAATGCATTGGTTAAATTTGACGATTCCTTACATTGTACAAAGAGTGTATCCATAGAAATGTTAGGCTAACACTGTGCTAACCGCAATGAGCTTTGGGCCTTGGGTTCCAACACTAGGGCTTTTTTACACTCCCCATCAAGTTAGAAAATATTGATCATAAGTTCCTAGCTTGTTATATATAACCAATTTCAGGAGCTCTGAGAGACTTAGTAAATATATCTGCTAATTGGTCCGCTGACTTCCAAATTACTCCCTCCGTCCCACAAAACTTGGCCAAGTTTGACTTGCATGCAGAATAATAAAGTAAAAACTATGTGGTTCAGATTTGTGTAGAAGAGAGAGAAACTACTTTAACCACCTTGTCATTACTTCGAATGGAAATGATAAAGTTTTTTGGGACGGTTAAAAAGGAAATTTGACCAAGGATGTTTTTACTTAGACTGTAATTTGTCTCAGATTAGACCAGACCAGACCAGACTTGGATAGTTATAAAAATACAAAGAGACCAGACATTACCAGACCAGTTCAGACCAGACCAGACTAGCAAATTACAGTCCAAGTAAAAACATCCCAAGTTTTATGGGATGGGATAGAGGGAGTAAATTTTGATGCACCCTGATACAATCTTCGCCTTAGTGAAATGACAAAAAACCTTTATATGTTTGGTCCTCTCATAATACGATAATAGACTGGATTTGAGATGATGGGAGTGCTATCCGGATGTCACATAAAAATGTCATTTGAGCAACAAGTTCACAAGTACCAAGGGGCCAAGGGCGATGTCATGATGCTTAGCAACCCGAAGAAGTCGAGCAAATCCATAAGATAAAACGGGAACACTCGAGCTGGACAAGAATTGATCACGAACAGCACCAACTTGGGGACAAGTCCACATTAAGTAAGGGCCATAAAAGCTTGTCCTGATACTCCAACTGTTTATGAATATTTCGATCGACGGGCAGAATGTCATTATATCTGTAATGTAATGTTCCACATCAATGTATTGCTATGGCGTATTAGGGGGTCTGACATGCCTTGGCATTCAAACAATAACACAACGGAACCGTTTTAAGATTGATAATTCGCACTCTCCACCAATTTATTAGTTGTAATATTAGGGAAAGCGGTGAAAATAGCATAGTAGCTATGAGAAGGATTCCAGAATCGGGAAACTTCAGACAGACAGGACTAACAGCACGTGTCGCGGTGTTGGCAACACATGAAATTCTGGTGGCATTGGAGTGGTGCCAAAATTTATGGAGAGGGTTTCCGGAAGATGAGCTTTCTTCCTGTGCACGTGGTGACAGAGTTGGGGTCGCAGAGAACAGTAGATCTTGTGAGGAACAAGACTAGTTTCTGAATTCAAAGGCAGCATCTGAGTAGGCTTCCGACAGTGAGATGTTTTCTTGTGGGTACCCGAAGGGGCTTGAGAGATAAATAGCTGTGTGACATGCCGTAAAAAGAGACTCACACCTGAAGACAAGGGTAGTAACGTCAGAAATAAAAGTCAGTGTTATTCTGCAAAACTGAAGCATAACTTTGTCTCTGCCGATGTAATCTTTGTGGTGGCCTGAATCGTTGGTTGAATTCTCACTTTGAGGCTCTATTTCATATATCTGATGTGGTCATCCTGAGATGATCCCAGAACTTACGTCCCTCAAGGTGTACTGTACCGTCATCTTAATGGATATGATTGGATAAATTACATTGATCCATACACTTAACTCATAGTTGGATGGTTAATCCAAATTGGTTGCCATTGCGACTTTTGCAACAACAACAACATTATCCTAGTGCCGCAAAGGCTCCCACCTACAGTAGGGTAAGGGGGATCATTTATACGCAACCTCACCCTTGTATAAAAGCACATAAACACCGTTTCCGGATGACTCATGATAAAAATCACGTCGAAAATTGCTTGGACTGATTGTTGCTTCATAACAAAGAAGCGCAAACAGTTTAGTGAGTCATTTTGCTTTATTCCGTCATATTCTCAAGCCAAAAAATAGTGAATCTTTGGCTCCATTAGAGATGATGAAGTCTGCACTTTTCTAGGAGTAAAAATGTTGTTAAAAGTCAACCATTGTTCCGAATTTCTCCCTGAAATTTTCAAAACGGGATCATATATGCGTATTTGGTCTCCCATATTTTCTCGCTTTGTCTAGGAGACATTAAGCCGTTAATCATACCCATCCATTCTTAGGTGAAGGCTTCTGACCGACTCTAAAATTTGCTAATGCCTTCAGTCATTATCACTCGAGCTTGTCGTGGTCTCGTGGAGGCCCTTGAAGGGGGTCGATTTGATTATCCAGGATACGTGCTGTGTATTTTCCTCCTCCTCCTCCTCCTCCTCCTCCTCCTCCTCCTCCTCCTCTTCTAGTAGGCTGTTTGTGGCGGTGGATTGAGGGTAACATCATTAATAATGTTGAAGAAGTCATATGTATTGATCTCTTTCCCGAATATGTCAGGTCCATGCCTTGTTAAACTCAAACTTAACAAACGATGGGAAAAAATATTTTTCTTCTTTTGGTTTTAACTTTTAACTAATTTTCTCATGCACTTTATGAAGATATATTCTAAGAGATTGTGCTCACATTAATGACATATATGTCAGTCGTATGCTTGTCATCAATGTTCTAACTTCATGAGCGATCTATACTACACTACATATATGTCATTCAGATATTCAACTTGCAAGGTGGAACACTGGAACCTACACCAAGTTAATTGACAATTAGACACAATTAACTTGTTACATTCTGGGCTTTAACATCGTTCCTTGGGTGAGTGATCTTCACAGTTTTAGAAGAACCCATCTATATGTAACTTATAAATGAACATTGGACTTGCACAATTGTAGGGATTCCCCTGAGAAATATCTATCATAAGTACATGCGTGAAGTAGTTAATATAAAGAATTTTATCAATCCAGGACCTGCAAGATAAGTTCACTATCAATAAGGGATTCGAAAGATAAAATATGTCAATGCAGGGCCAAATGATTGAAAACTATCATATTTTTTGTCTATGATATTTTAATCCTTTGATTGATAGTTTTCAATCATTCAGACCCTATATCGACGTATTTTATCTTTAAGGTCCTGAATTGATAAAATTCCCTAAAATAAAGAGTTGACACAAACTTTTTCTTCACACTTTTGTTGGAAACTTGATTTTGAGGAAACATGGAGTTGACCCTATCAGGGGAAGAATGCATCCATACAACCTTTCTAGACTTTCTTAATTATGACACCATGCAAGATTTAAAGTACACTTTCATACAAGACTGTTGGACTGACTCACCTCTTCTCGCCACCAACAAATAACCTGATAGGCACAGACACAAATCACAACTAAAACAGTAAGAGAATACACAGATCTGATGAGCAGAGAGGGAAATAGATGTTTATTGATGAAATAGGTAAGCCGTAGGCAGTACAGGGACTTCTTAGGCAACCGGGACTTTTAGGCAACAAGGCAACAGTTCTCAAAATAACACCTACCTATTATTAGCTACCCAACTTACTATTTATAGTAGTAGGTCCACGCAGGGACTAAAATAGATAAACAGACTCATTAAATGACCCAGCCCACTTAATGGACTTCAGACCATTTTATTTCTACTTTCAAATACCCTATTAAAATACTAAATAGGCAGATTCCTAACATTACTCCCCCCTTAATTAACCACCTTGCCCTCAAGGTGGGTAATAAGACACAGCCTTGATCTTGAACTTCCTCTTCATCCTGGAACCTCCACCTTCCCAGTACCTCCTTGATGGTTTCTGCTCTAGGAACTTCATTTCCTTCGCTTTCATCATCACATCTTTCAAAGCAAACAGGAGCAGAAACTGGGTATTAAAATTTCCTGGAATTACACTTGAAGCCTCTCCCTTGTAACCAATCTCTTCATGTACAAGTTCTAAGGCAGACATGCTGTGAGGAGTTGTAACTCTCAATGGATCAAGGAACAAACCAGTTTGAACCCTTATAAGAACTCCCATACCAACTTCAAATGTGTGATCAATTCTCCTCTTCCCATTAATTCCTTCTTGTAGCATTTCTTTGATAATCCTCTCTATATCCTCTTTTTGGCCTTGTGGGTATCTATATAACCTCAGGTTAGGTACTTCTGCTCCCTCTTCAATGTTAATAGCATGGTCACACTTTCTAGGAGGAGGTAATCCTGGTCTGGGAGTAAATACCTCAGAAAATTCTGCCATAATTCCTTCCCAATTGGAATCTTTCAGCTGATTTTCCTCTCCCTCCATTTTTCTGCCTTCCCAGTAGATAAGATAGCCATCACCAGCCTCCTGTACAATTTGTGACATGGTCTTCAGAGATACTTTCATAGATTTTGACTTAGAGTCTCCATGAATAGCCTGACTTAACCCCAGCTGATGCCATTTTATGCTCTGCTTCTGAAAATTGATCTCCACATCCCCCAATCCAGTCAACCAATCCATGCCAAGAACCAAGTCCGTTCCCTCTAACTCCAGCATGTAGAAATCTTGTTGAATGACAGCTCCCTGCAGGTTCAGAATTATTTGTTCACACCTGCCCTTGTTGGAGATCTCATCACCATTCCCAAGCTGGACCTTGTAGCCAGCAATGGTCTGATAAGGGAGGGTTAACTGCTCTACCACTTTCTGAGATATGAAGTTGTGTGAGGCTCCACTATCAATTAGAACATCTACTAGTTTCTCTCCCTTAGCCCATTTCAGAGTCCCCTGCACCCTAAAAGCCCTCTTAGTGGGTAGTCCCTCTTGGTTCATGAAGGTTAACTGCATGGACTTGGATTCCATGGTGATCTTTTCTTCTTCAGGGATTACCCCTTCTGAGTTACCCAATTCCTCCTCTCCCTCTGAATCTTCCACCAACATTAGTTTGTAATTCTTCATTTTACATGAGTGTTCTCTACTCCAATTTTCACCGCATTTGAAGCAAAGCCCCTTCCGGCTTCTATCTTGGTATTCTTCTTGTGTCAGCTGAGGCCCTACTCTTCTTATGTCTGAGGAATTTATTTCTGTTCCCTTCTTCCCATCAGGAGTAAACCAAGGTGGGCTTCCCCTGTTGTCTGGTGCATTTCTGCCACCAGTTGGTGGCCTTGGACTCCCAGGCTTGAAGTTATAGCCTGCACCCCCAGCTGGTTGTCTGTAGTGCAGGTGCCCCTTATCTTTCCCCTCTGTTCTCTCTACCATTTTTCCCTTTCCATTGACAGCATCATTCCTTTGCTCAATCAGAACGGCCCTGTCCATGACAGCAGCCAGAGATTTGGAATGGCGAAGTTTCAGCTCAGCTTTAATTTCTGCTTTGAGGCCATTGATAAAAATACCACGTAGCATACCCCTGTCAATGTTTTTCTGTGGGGCTATTACCATCTCAAATTCCTCCCGGTAGTCTTGTACAGTCCCCGTTTGTTTCAGGCTCAACATGGGTCCAAAAGGATTTTGTAACAAGTCAGGCTGGAACCTGCGGATAACAGCATCCTTCAGGTTTTCCCAGGTTATTTCCTCCGCCTGTTGCTCCCACCACTGGTACCAATTCAAGGCTCTATCCTCCATAGCCACCATCGAAACCTCCACCTTGTCTTCCTCTTCAGTTTTATTCAATCTAAAATAGCGTTCCATCCTCACTATCCAGTTGTAGGCACCCTCCCCATTAAACAAAGGTAGATCCACCTTCCTACCCGTGTGAACACGACGATGGAAAACTGGGGAGTGTACAGAGTTACCTCTCAATTTCGACGAGCTGCTTGGTGATCGCGAACGGTGGCGGTTCTTTGATCGCGACCTTCCCCTGGGCTGATCGTCCTGCTTATACGCTGCCATCGAGGCCGCGACACTCGTCTGGATCTGTTCGTTCATTGTCGCGACCAGGGTGGCGATAGTGGCCCTCATCTCCTGCTGGAACGCCTCCATCTGTTGCTCCATATTAGATCTCGTTTTTACCATCTACCGTTGAAACGAGAGTTCTACAGTAATCGCACTTCACTTGCGATCCCCAGGAGCGATTGCTCTGATACCAATGATAGGCACAGACACAAATCACAACTAAAACAGTAAGAGAATACACAGATCTGATGAGCAGAGAGGGAAATAGATGTTTATTGATGAAATAGGTAAGCCGTAGGCAGTACAGGGACTTCTTAGGCAACCGGGACTTTTAGGCAACAAGGCAACAGTTCTCAAAATAACACCTACCTATTATTAGCTACCCAACTTACTATTTATAGTAGTAGGTCCACGCAGGGACTAAAATAGATAAACAGACTCATTAAATGACCCAGCCCACTTAATGGACTTCAGACCATTTTATTTCTACTTTCAAATACCCTATTAAAATACTAAATAGGCAGATTCCTAACATAACCCCACTAAAATGAGAAGAAAGGGAAGAAGACATCGACAATATCGGAGGGTCATCAAATCAACTCTCTCAGAGTCATCACATAAGACATTGTGTGAGTATTAGAATTTGTCAACCACCTCCACATAAGGATGAACTGGTATAGTCAATGGCTCACAATCAACAAGGCACAACTAACACATATGGCGGAGCAAATAAATAGATATGAGCCTGATAGAGAACAGAAAGAGCATGGGGCGGGAATGGGCTTGGGTCCACTTTCATGGGCCGGTTATGGCTGGGATTATAGTTTTATTTGTTATTATAAAGTTTATGTTATGTTTTTAGTTTGGGCCTATTATTAGTAGAGTATTTAGTAGAGTTAGTATGGGCTTAATTAGGATTTAATTAATTTGGGCTCGATTAGGGTTTCTGTTGAGTCTCTTACTAGAAGGCTATTTATACCCCTTGCCAGGGTTCATTCTTGCTTATCTTGGAATAAAGTTGGATTTCAGCCTTTTGGCTCCAGGCAACGATTTCTATCGTTGATTATCTGAGCAACGGTTTATCCCGTTGATTTTTATTTTTCTGTTCTCAGCAGAGCCGGTTTTGAACAACTTCGGGGAGCAATTTAGAACAAAAGCCCAACAATATGGGAAAACTGCTATAGGAAGCCACCTCAAGTCAAACATTTGTACTCATTGATCCATACACTCAAGACTCCAAATTCTAAGTATCACTTAAGTGCATTTCAACACTTAAGTCCACCATTTCTATAAAGTTTGAAAAATCTCCTAAGGAAATCAAAATGTACGGCCTTGATGCCATGTGAAATAGGCTCATTGTATTTGATGATTTATTACGATATACAACGAGTGTTTTCATATAGATATTATGCTAACCTTAATCCTTACGGGCATAGGGTTCTAGCACTAGAGGTTGAACACATATAACCATGTAATGTACTTCTGTTGCAAGGGTTTGACTTTCACGTCCGACAATGCACAACCTTAGCTATTGATATATTTAAATGGCTATTAGCTAAAATTACAAAAAAAAAATCATATTTTGAGATTTTACATTGAGCAACAACTTAATAATATATGTAATGATATAATACTTTAATATATTAATAAACTAAATATGGTCAAAGTAGAGTATGTGTATTGTGAAAAACTCAAACTACTGCATCTAAAATGAACTTTGGTTGTACTTAAAATCTGTTTCATTCTATGCTTCTGTTTCTGTTTTCATTTGGTTGTTATGAGTTGTTTTCCAGGTTAGGTTGGACCCTAGGAATAAAGATATCGACCTTGAAAGTTTAAAGTACAGTAGAATTTCACAACTGAATGACGAAGAGTTGGAAAAACAAGAAGCCGACTACATATATCGCTATCGCTATAACGGTGGTGGTGCTTCTCAAGTATGGCTGGGCTCTGGCAGGTAACTTTTACTCGCATCAATTTTGACCTGTCTACAAAAAGGATTCATCAAAGGGCACATGGATAGTCTTTCCAACTACTGCTTCTAAATTCATACTTCGAAGTTTTAGACAATTCTATTTGAGTAGCTTGTGTATCGGAACCTGAGGGCCGAACACCCATATAACATGTTTGATATAACTGTAATAAATCATTAAGAGTGGGTTGATATGTGATATGTACAGAGGAAATCGGAGTATAAATTTTATTGATATCGTAGAAAACAAAAGGAATACAGCCGAGACCAATTCGAGAGGGTCCCGATCTCTCCCAGATCCCAATTTTCCCAAATCCCAGTCTACCCATCTCCCTATCCTATTCCTTCTATTTATTCTGTTCCATTGAGGCTTTCCCTCACTCTAACTAATTATTTGGCCCAGCCCACTTCCCTTTTACACCTTAATAAAATATCCATTATTATTTCTATCAATATGATGGGTTGGTAATTATTTATTCTCTTTATTTTCTTTCAAGTTGCTTTAATTGATGATTTGTTAAATTTTAGTACAGGTTTTTTATAGCATATGCATGTAGACTACGGATCTAAGTTCTCATTCATTAATCTAATGTGCATTTCATGAAATGATTGAAATCAAATAACACTGGAGTGGCAATGTATATGCACTAGTTTGAGCCACTTCACATTCCATGTCAGGTATGTTGTGATTGACCTCTCAGCAGGTCCCTGTACTTACGGAAAGATTGAAACGGAAGAAGGAAGCATAAGCCCCAGGTCACTACCTAGGTTGCGAAGTGTAGCTTTGCGTAAAGCTGCTAGTACAGTTGGTGAGCATTATGCTCATGATGTTTTTGTTGGCCAGCTTGCATCTCTAATTGTTACTACGACGGAACATGTTATTGCTCCAGATGTTAGGTAAAGCTGCCATCTTCTGAACTTGTAATGGTGTTTTATTCATTAGTCTTTTTTTGTGAACTTTTATAAGCATCTTGTAGATCTGCTAATTAACTGTCTCTTTTGGTAATATTTTGGTCTACCTCTAATACTTGCTAGCTGTAGTAGCTATATCAGTTTCATCTCAATAGATGGATAGTAATTATCTTTCCCTTCTCTCTTGCTCTTGAGATTTAGCCTGTCAACATCACACCATAAGCTGTGATGTGTATGTGTATTATAGTTTATTTTTTTGAATTATACTGCATGCTTCCTTTCTTGGGCAGATATGAAACAGTTGACATGACAACAAGGTTGCTTGTTCCAATCATTGTCCTCCATAATCATAACCGTTACAACATCATGGAGAAAGGCCACAATTACAGTATTGATGTTAGTGCTATCGAGAATGAGGTAAAGTTGTTCTACACAGTGTTTGCATATATGCTTGATTGTTTAGAATCATTTTTTAGAGATGTCAAGATCACAACCCATATTATAGCTTACTTCAAAAGAGTACCTTCCTAGAGAACTTCTGTAGTATTCTTTTGCAGCTAATGCAATGGACTAAGATACCAATAAGAACCCTGTGAGGGAATTAAAAATTTTAGGAACTTGCGAGTTAATATTATGAAAAGAATATCATGCAAGGACCAAACCAATGGTATTCGTTTTGCAGGTTAAGAAACTTGTTCATCAGGGGCAGGAAGTTGTGATTGTTGGTGGTTCACATGCGTTACATCACCATGAGAAGTTGGCTATTGCTGTATCTAAAGCAATGCGTGGCCACTCACTTCAAGAAACCAAGAAAGATGGGCGTTTTCATGTTCACACAAAAATGCATCTAGATGGTGCTATCCTTAAAGAGGTTGAACTATGTGATCTCTCTGTCTCTCATGTCTGGTTTATATATTTTCCATGTAACTCTTGTTTTGTGTCTAGGCGTATGTTCTATTCAATTTCAAATAGATTTCTTAGACTTCCCAGTTATATTGCTCTAGTTAGTTATTTTTGCAAAACAAATTCTCATTCTTCAGTATGTAATACATTATTCCAGGAGATGGAGCGATCTGCAGATGTGCTTGCTGCTGGTTTACTTGAGGTTGCTAATCCATCACTCTCACATCAATTTTTCCTCCGCCAGGTTGGTGTTGAACAGTTGGGTATCTGTTTCCAGTATTCCGTACTATACTTTTGGTACTTTTGTAGTTTCCTCCCCATTTTAAATATATTTTACCCTTGCTAGAATTGGATGGATCAAAATGATGGCACAGGTGATCCCATATTGAAACATAAACCTCTTTGGGCCACTTATGGCCAAGGACATGGAAAGCAGAACCAGAGGAAGAAGAAAGAATTGAAAAAGAAACCGGGGAATCTCTACAGGACCTATGGCACTAGAGTTATTCCAGTGTAAGCTCGTTTGTCTGTTCATCTAGTCTAGATGAAATAGTCATTTCCTTTTAATTTTACCATGTAGCTACAGTTTTTTCTTTTACAAAACAATAATTGGACGTGATTAATACAAGGGTAAATTATATGGTACATCCGGCTGTACCATGTGCACGGTACAGCGGGACTTTTTGTTCTCAGTGCACCGCATGTCGTCCCTCGGAGGCTTCACTCGCACAGTTTCGAATCTCTTCACCAGTTATCCTCCACCTCGCGTGGCTTGTTGCTTCGCTCGCCTCTCGGATCTGCGATGATGGAGCTGTCAACCAATGTCTATGGTGGATTTCGCGATTGACTGCGACGAAAGGCATATCAACCCTAGATTTGACCTCCATTTTCTCTTTTTCTTCTTTTCCTTAGGCAGGTTTGTTGAGTTTGGTAGCTTGTTTGTCACGCTGCTGAGAAACCTAAGATATACGGAGTATACACGTAGTTTTAGTGATGAGTATACACAAAATGAAAAGTTGAGCATAGTAGAGATTTAAATGAGCTTTTTGAATTGTTCGATACTCATTTCGTAATTCATGTATGCTCATTTGGTATTTGGTGTAATACTCATTTTAAAATGTCATATTCATGCATATTTCAAAAGTATAATATTACATTAAATTCACATATTAGATTCATATGGGTTCATTGTAGATATTTTAAAAAATAAGAAAAATAAGATATGAAGCCTATATCACGATGCTCATTATTAGACTCTCAATACTCATTAAAAGTGCATTCATGCTCATTTAACGGAAGTCTTGAATTTCACTCAAGCCGTACAGACGGCTGTACGGTATACGGACGCATTTACAAGTATCTTTGAGACAGTTTCGTGATGTAATATTGAACAGATAATACAGAGTACTTTTTAGTTGAAATTGTTTACTTTTTTAAATAAGTTATGATATTATACTTGGTATAAAAAAGAAATAAGTAAAAAAGAACCATTTCATGTTCCTTCATTGTACATGCCCCCACACACATCCCATCTCAATTGTGTATTTGTGTTTGTTATTAAACAAACAAGCAAGATGTTTGATGCAATTTCCTTATTGCAGTTTTGTTCTATCATTAGCTGATGTGGATGAACATCTTATGATGGAAGATGAAAGTCTTGTCTGGACCAGCAAAGATGTAGTTATTGTACTCCAGCATCCTAATGATAAAATTCCTTTGAGGTAAGCTTGAGCCTAATGCTCAGTTATTATCATGTTTATACTGTATAGAAGTGACCTTTGAAGCAGGTACCACTTCTAACCACAGCATGATTAGCCACTTGTAGTTTGTGATACCAATTGAGTTGACACTTTGTGTTCTTGGTCAGCTATGTCTCAGAACTTGAGAGAAGGCATGCTAATCCATGGCAAGTAGACCGTCATATAGTTGCAGGGGTGGCATCTGTTATTGGTGGTTTGAGTGCCCCATATGAGAAGGCTTCTCATGCCCACGAGAGGCCTGTTGTAAACTGGTTATGGGCAACTGGTTGCCATCCCTTTGGACCATTCTCTAATACTTCTCGTATCAGTGAATTACTTCAAGACATTGCATTGGTATGCTACTCATTATATTATATTACTCCGTATTACGTATTACTTCGTATAATGTTTGCTTTGACGATCCATAAGTGCTTTTATCACAATTTTTTGTTTTCAATTTAAGCACTTCTAGTCCTTTTCTGAAAAAGCATTGATTTGCAGCTTTCTTAAATAAGAATTAAAAGTGTGTTTTACATTTAACTGGTTAATAGCACTATTTTTCCATGCAGTCATTCGATAAATGCTCTCTTACATTCTTCAAACATGCAGAGGAACACAATATATGCACGTGTTGATGCAGCCCTACGCCGAATCCGTGAGACATCCCAGGTTGTTTGTCTGTTCTCTGAAATCTATTAACTACCTTAAATGGTTTGGTGCCTCATATATAATTATTTATTAACGTAGTATTGTTTTCTTTTTTCTTCTCTTCAATCAGCTTGTTCAAAATTTTGCATCAGAACATCTGAGAACTCCACTCGGTGAACCTGTGAAGGGTAAAAAGAACAAAACAAGCACTGAATTGTGGGTGGAAAAGTTCTATAAGAAAACAACCTCATTGCCCGAACCGTTCCCACATGAGTTGGTTGAACGACTAGAGAAATACTTGGATGTAAAACTGCCTCCCTAATTTAAATCTATACGCGTTGCTTTTGAGCACATATTTTGTTTGCTCTATACATTAAATGATCATATACATATTAATCGGATAATGGACAGAGCTTGGAGGAGCAGCTTGTGGATTTGTCTTCCCTGTTGTATGACCATCGACTACAAGAAGCAAACGTTAACAGCAGCCAGATTTTCCAAAGCTCGATTTTCACACATCAGTAAGTGACAGCAGCTTTAAGATATGTTTATTACTAGTGATTTTCTCTTATTGTAATTCTTCTTTTTTCTTATATGAAACTTTACTTCACTAATTGGTGTATTTTGTTGGTCCAACACAAATATATTAAAAAAACAGGTACGTGGAGCATGTACTGGCAACTGAAAGGGAAAAGATGAAATGCTGTAGGATAGAGTACAAGGTTCCTGTGCAGTCTTCTCAAAATCTGATATATGCCGGAATTCTTTTAGCTGGGTTTTTTGTATACTTCGTTGTAATTTTTTTCTCTTCCCCTGTACGCTGAAATAGATAGAATAGGATACGACTTACTTTTATTATATTATAATATAAATAGGGTTGATTGAAATAGGTAAACCTGAATGTGCAAAGAAACAATATGGTTTTCTTGACCTGAAATCACATGCTTGGACCTTGGTGAACTCCACTTTATATCGAGTGTTTGTCACTACAGGTGACAGGTACTTTTAGAGTTCCTAACTTTGTAAGAAGATTTAGAGGCCGTTTAATAGTTATGGAATTGGCTGAATTATGGAAAATAGTTAAAAAATACTTTGTATTTTATTACGGAGTAATTAAATAAAGATTGATAATAGTCCTCTTCAATAAAATAAACTAATTCATCAGGAATGTAATTCTAGCTTTAGTAATTTCCATTCCCAAATATTTTAGCCAACAGAATCAAAATTTAATACTCCATATTTGGTAAAAACTGAGGACGTTAGCCTTCGTAGTTCTACATCATCGCAAGGTATTTGACAAGTCTTCTAGTCAAGCTGCGACCTGTGTTGCTCCATGTGAAGAAATCAGTGAAAAAAACTTTCATCGCTAACATTTTCCGTCTTGATATTTGCTCTCATTTTATATCGACTTTGTGTTTTTGTTGTTTTTGGTTTTTGGATTGTAGGTTTTTTTCTTTATTCTGATCTGATTTTACTTTATTTGTGCAACTTAATTTCGACTGTTCTTGCAATTCACTACATTTATGTTTTTTTTGGGAAAGTTTTCTAATTTAATTAAATCGGAATATGTCATATTCTTAAATCCAAGGTTGTTTGCTTGAAACTTTATTACTCCGTATTACAATATTTCATAATCTCATCACTGATTTTCTGATTTTTTCTTCACCAGATGTTGCTAACTTGCTATATTACCGTTACGGAGTAATTATTTATCTATTTTACATTCGAGTTTATCCAGTTTTGATAAAGTTTTAAGGATTGAATGTAATATGGTCCATTGAGAAGGCACTGTATTGATGGTTTTGATTTGTTACATTTTTGTTGGAAATTGTTTGTAATGATATTTTCCTAGAAGGGTGAAAAAATATGATACTTCTCGTGGAGTTCTCTCGGCTTGCAATTGCTTTTTCCTTTTCCTTAAATGTTGGGTCTTGGTTGGGTTTTGGCCAATGATGAATGATGAAGGATCAATTGCTTGGTCTAACCTAACTTTTTCGTAGATATAATAACCGTAATAAGAAGCAAGTTGAATTGAAAGTTGTTCATTCTCTTTGCATTTTATTGAAAGATTGTATCTGCAATATTTGCTGATATTTCCGACATAAATGGACAGCTAATCTTTTTCATTTCTTGTCTAAATTTTTTACATTACTGTCTGCAAATTTTCTTGTATTTTCAGACTTTTGACAATTTTCTGCATTTCTTAATACGTAAAAGTAAAGGCAGGCAAAAAAATATTAGAATAATAAGAACTGGCTAATCGATTAAAAATCATTCTTTTGAGCAATTTTTGAAGAGAAAGAGGCAAAAAAACCCTCGAACTATTTACAATTTTGCAATCGGGCCCATGAACCGGAAGACTTGCAGATACACCCCTCAACTCATTGAAAATTATGCAATCAGATCCATTTTTACCTGCTGGTGCATGTAAGAAGATGAGAAATTACCGGCACCAGTAGGTAAAAAGGGTTTGATTGCTGAATTTTCAAGGAGTTGAGAGGTGTATCTGCATGTCTTCCAGCTCAGGGACCTGATTGCAGAATCACAAATAGTTATTTTCATTCTTTAGGTATACAAACTCAAATAGAAACTCAAATACGAAGGCGTATTTACCCCTTTTCTCATTTTTGAATTATAAGGACATAATTATTTCATTCTTTAGGTATACAAACTCAAATAGAAAACAAAAAAGCTGAGGGATAAGTTACAAAAGTATGAACATGATAAAAGTATTTTGGAAATGTATTTGTGAGATATATTTAAACAGGCAATCATGTACTAGTCTCAAACTCTTTCATGTAAGAAAGTTGATATTTTGAAGAATAATTATAATTATTCCGGAATTGAAGTAAATGAAATAATTACAATTGTCTAGAGAGAAAATATGTAGCATGGTTACTAGTTTACTACTAATAACTAAAACGCATAAGGTGTATGATCTGTTTACTGACACATTAAATTTACACCACAAAGAATGAAAGATTGACATCGAATATTTTCGGTAATACGGAAATTGACCAAATCGAGCGATTGTGCTAAAATTGATGAAATTTTAGATACTATACTGAGTGATTCGGCCATAAAATGTTATCATGCTGATAAAATTGTGACACAGACCAAAAGATATTAAAGTATGTTATTGTAATTTATGGGTGTATTTCACAATTTTGTGCGGGATATCATTTTGGGGATCCCACTCAACATTCTCATCGTAATGATACCTACAAACTTTTTGTCGGCACTAATCATATTCAATTTTTTTTATTGTTCACATTTTTGTACACACGTTTGTGAACAGTTATTTTATATCTGTAAATAGGGATGGATCCGGGCCGGTTCCGGTTCGGGCCCGGGCCCGGCCGGGCTTTTATTTGGGAATGGTGGAACCGGAACCGGCCCGGGTAGCCGGCGGTTCTAACTGCGCAGTTATTTTCAAGAATTTATTTAAATGTCTTCTTGATTGAAGTTTTAGCTGAAATTTGGTATGAGTAAACTAGACTTAATGAATAAGATGCTCAAAAAAATTATCTAAAAAGATTTAGAGGCCGTTTAATAGTTATGGAATTGGCTGAATTATGGAAAATAGTTAAAAAGAGTATTTAACAAAATACTCTATATTTTATTACGGAGTAATTAAATAAAGATTGATAATAGTCCTCTTCAATAAGATAAACTAATTAATCAGGAATGTAATTCTAGCTTTAGTAATTTCTATTGCCAAATATTTTAGCCAACAGAATCAAAATTTAATACTCCCTATTTGGTAAAAATAGGACTTATAAATGGCTGTTATAGTTAGTTACATTCAGTTTAGAAAACCAGTTATATAATTGGCCGTTGTTATAATTGGCCGTTGTTATAATTGACTTGTATATAAATTGAATAACATGTACGTGTATGATCATTGAGAAGCAATTACAATCTCCCCATCCTTTTCATCTCTATTCTCTCTTTTATCTACTGCCTTAGTTGAGAATTAAGCTCGGATTGTTCTTCATTCATCTGAAATCCCTGCAATTCTCAACAGATCCTCAAAATCATACTGATTTTCTGGACCTTCATCATTGATATCAGAGACTGTGCAACTGATTTAGCGATCTGAAATTTTCTTCGAGACTGCTCAAACTCTAAAATGGTGCAAACACGTCAAGATTCCGGTAACACGGATGAACAGTTCAAATCGCTGGAACACAAATTTCAGATGTTAGAACTCAATCAGCAAAAAACTACTCAACAAATTGAAGTGTTGATTCAAAAAATGAGTGAATTAATACCTACAAAGAAGAAGGAACCAATACATACACATGAATCCAGTGATGAAGAAAGCGAATCGGATCATGAATTCTCTTCAGGAAAAGGTGAGTTTTCACACGATTCTATCAAGATTCTTCCCAAGATAGAATTTCCTCAATTTGAAGGATCCAATGTACAAAAGCTGCTGTGTGGTTTGAGGATTATATAACTGGGAAGCATAATGTTACCTGGACTAGATTTATAACTGATGTTACTGCAAGATTCAGTTCTGAGTTGAGTACGAAAGTAGTTGGAAGGTTTAATAAACTGTCTCAGGTTGGAAGTTTGGAGGAGTATATTGATGATTTTGAATCACTGAAATCTCAAGTGTTGCAAGTTAAACCCCACATGCCTTCTAGCTATTTCTTAAATAGTTTTATTGGAGGTTTAAAGGCTACACTGAAACCCTTCGTTCAGGCTTTTCATCCCACCAACCTGAATTCTGCAATTAGATATGCTAGGCTACAAGAAGAAGCAGTTTCAGCTTTGAATACTCAACCAAAAACCATATTAAACACCTATAAACCCTCTGCATCAACATCCAAACCTTATTTCCCACAGTATAACACAAAGCCATTATTACCTACACCCACAGGTAATCAATCTAACCCCTCAATGTTCCAAAAGGATAAGTTTGCAGAAAAAACTTCTGTGACAGAAATGACTGCAAGAAAAGAGAAAGGTTTATGCATGTACTGTGGAGAACCTTATACACCTGGACATCACCTAAAACACAAAAGAATGGAGATTAGGATGATGGAATTGGATGATGAAGAAGAAACTAATGTGGAGGAAGTACAAGAAGAGCCTGTGGTTGAAGCTGAAATATCTTTTAATGCATGGCTACTGGCAGTCAGTTTCATACAATGAGAGTCACCAGAAGTTATATGAACAAAGCCTTGCAGGTGTTCTTGGATCCAGGTGCCACCCATAACTTTGTAGATGAAAAGTGGGTTCACAAAATGGGAATACCTACAAAAACAACTCAGTTGATGGTTGTAAATACAGCAGCAGGCAGGATGTTTGTTAAATCCATTTGCAAGGGGCTGAAATGGAAAATACAAAACACTGAATTCACAGCTGACTGTTTTGTACTACCATTAGATTTTTGTGATCTTGTATTAGGTATTCAATGGTTTGTGACATTGGGGCCTATCATTTGGGATTTTCTGCATAATAAAATGGAGTTTACCTGGAATGGAAAGCGTCATGTCTTGAGAGGAAGAGATAGCAATGATGTGAGAACCATCAAGGGTGCTCAATTGAACAAAATGGATTTGCAGGAGTGCACATTGGCGTTCATACAGCTCATTCCATATGGTAACCATACAAAATTCATAAATCCTTCATTATTTTCAATATCCTACAATGAGATTACATTGCCTGACCAGATTAAGGAACTTATGAAGGACTATGATGACCTCTTTAAGGAACCTAAAACACTACCTCCTAGTAGACCAGAATTTGATCATAAAATACCTGTCAAATCTGGATCAGTTCCTATTAACAAGAGGCCATATAGATACCCCAAGCTACAGAAGGATGTTATAGAAAAGTTGGTAAAAGAAATGCTTGAACAAGGTATTATCCAACACAGCTCTAGTCCATATGGTTGGGAAGAAGGATGACACTCAGAGCTTAACAATCAAACAATAAAGGACAAATTTTCTATTCCTTTATTGGATGATTTGCTAGATGAATTGGGTGGAGCAGTAATATTCTTTAAATTGGATTTGAGAGCAGGTTATCATCAAATAAGGATGCATAAAG